AAACAGGCACGTGGGGCTGGGCCTGCCACCTACCCCCCGAGCACCTTTTAAAGGTGCTTGGAAGATGACAAAGAACAGCCAAAGCAACGTATCAGCACAAGACCGTTTAATCTTTGGCTGAGGTGCAACTTGGCAGCATGTCAGGAGAGAAACCAAGCGGTCTGCAGCGGCAGGGGATTTTTAACTATGCAGAGCAGCTTTCTTAAAAAGCCTTGATGGTGAGCACATCTGGCTCTCAGGAAAAGAGCCACGTCATTTTTAGTGACGAGCTGCAAAGACGTCCTTCGGGACAACACACCCCTGCACTGTGGGGCACACGTTCAGGACTGACTCAGAGGGACCACCCTCGCCGGTCCTCGGGGCTGCACGCTCTGCTGCTCCATCGTCTCCCTCTCAAGCCTCAGCTTTGTCACTCCAACAGCAAGTAAACAAAGATCTCCATCCCACAGCAAAAAAATACCTCCACCACACGGCGGGCTTGCCCTTCGCTACCTTTAATAGGAAACAGTCTCCTGCAGGGAGAGATGCACGCAGCAGGAGAGGACATCTGCTCCGGCTGCTTTGAGATGGATGACAAATGCCTTCCAGCAAGCCAGGTCAGGATGCTGCTATCAACACCAGTAAGGACAACCAGGGCTGCACGGCACCCGACCCACCGTAGCCGACTCCCGCGGCACAGGCAGGCTGCTCCGTCAGCCGTCCCGGCGAGATTCGGGCTAGGAGGGAATTTATATACACGCACCACAAAGCAGTATCTAACTGGCCTGCAAGCCCAGACAAGCTGACACTCCCTAGATAACCTCGTCATCCTCCCCTAAACCACCCCCAGCCCATCCACGTAACCAGCCCTGCGTGTTTATGATCTGTCAGACACATGACTGTCACCTGCCAAGCCCTGCAGACGAGCTTCTTCCCCTCCTGTCCCTCTTGCCCTGCACCGTGGGTCATTGCACCGCCGGTCCCACCTGCACCCGTCACCGGCAGACGGTGAGGGAGGACGCGGCTCTCGGCACCGCCAAAGAGATGCCGGCAGGGCCCCATCCCGGCTGCAGGGTTTTAGGCGTTCCTTACTGGAAATCTCCGAGACCTTTATGGGAACGAAATACAATCGTTAAAAGCTGCTTTTAAGTTTCCTAAAAGATACGACAGGCACTATCAAGGCAGGAGATGAGACAAGCAAGGTACAAACGCCCCACAACAAGGGACACTCGTTGCCCAACAGGCAGCTCCCGGGGAGGAGAGGGTTCGAGCACCACCATCATCCTCAAAGAGGTTCATCGGATACGAGCAGTTAGGCTGATGCCAGTGCCAAACCACAGCTAAGGTTAGCAGCCTCTGATGGGAAATTACTTGTATTCAGCACTCTGGAGGCTTCTTCCTTTCCAAAACTAGATTTTTCTTTGGTGGTGGTGTGGGGGGAGGAAGGGTGGATGCTCTACAAACAACTTCTGGTAAGTTTTGTCTCCTCCTCATCCTGCCTCCTCTTCCACTCAAGTTATGTTTTTAACAGAAATTTATGTTTAAAAAAAAAAAAAGCATTTCCCTTCAAATGATGAAATTAAGGCTTAGCACACAGGACAGACCTAGTTCAGCAGCGACCTCCCAGCGTGCAGTGCAGGCAGGAGGACGGAGGCTGCGGCAGCCCGGCGGGGGCCGGGCCCTCCCCCGCCCCTCGTGCACCCTGCCGGCTCCCAGAGGAGGAGGAACCATCCAGGCCATCACCCTCACACTTCTCCTTCCCTCGCTCCCCGGCGAGCGGGGCTATAAAGCCGTTGCTCCCAGGGACAGGAGGGAGCCAGGGGCAGGGCAGAGACATCCCGCTGCACCACACCCCAGTGCACCAAACAGCTCCCCGAGGTCACAACACTCACATTTCGGAGAAACCGAACTCCAGCACTGGACGTCTTTAAAAACAAGATCGAGTGTCTCTTTACACAATCTGGCTTAATTTGCCCAAAAGCTGTTGGACCGGCTGCAGTAATTCCTGGAAGCAACGTCCTGACCTCCAGCCGAGCACGATGCTCGCCATCGTCCCTTCTGACCTTAAAGCTCACGATTCAAGTGATTCCCCATTTCCCCCTACGTTAGATCCAGCAGCACGCAAGGGCAATCATGCCACACAGAAAAGCCCACCAGCCTCCAGAGCTTGAAAGCGATGTGCTCTTCCAAAGCGCTGTCCGTCGTCTCTTGCAACAGGTCGATGGGAGCAGACAGCGCACAAAGGAGTGCTGTGGTATTACACCCGTGGATTAATTGAGCCACATGGACAATGCAGCACAGGATTGTGGGGGGAAAAGGGTGCTGGAGAGGCTCCACCTCCCCCCCACCTTCACACCATCTTCATCCCACTGCAGGTCCAGAACCTCGCCCGCTATTAGGCAGCGATTTCCTCCCTCCCCTACCTGCTGGGACCACAAGACACCCCCCCCCCCACTCCCCCCCCTCCACTTCCCCTCAGCCACACCATAACCCACTGCATCCCGCATGGGCAGCAACTCTGCTCCAGCCTTGTGCTCGACAGAGAAGCAGCTGCAAGAGGAAGATGCAGGCAGGGAGCCCCGTCCCAGCTCCAGGAAAGGGAGGAAAGACTTGGACCCACTGCAGACTGAGGCCAGCTGGGGCCACAAGATGCTACCATGATATCTGAGATAGCTACAGTACTGCCCAGTAATTACGGTATTCCTTGGGGCGACAAACATTTAGACGCACAATGCTGCCACGAAATCAGTGCAGCATTGTCCCCATGCAGATAAGGGGCTGTGGGGAGATGGGGCATCCCCCAGGCTGAAAAAAGAATAGAAACTTCCAGTTTCCACCATAGAAAATTCTCTCTGCCCTCTCTCCCACTCAAAATCCCTAGCTAACACTCGACCTGCGCTACAGAGTTTTGTCAGCAAAAGAGGTGGTGGGTAGATCTAGCTCCATACATACCCACAAGCAGTCCTGAGTCATGCCAGTAAAACCCCAAACTTTTTGTTGGTAGAGCAAAATCACCTCCCCAGCCAACGCAAGTTCCTCTCCCAGCTCCTTCCCCAGCAAACAGCCTGCCCGGGCAGTGCCTTATTAACACCAGTGAAAACCATCTTCCGTCCAAAAACCCACAGAGCCCCACGTCTGCAGCGGTGGCTTCTCAGGTCACAAAATCACCAGGACCAGAAACCCGCACCCATTCCCAGGCACCCAAAGAGAAGCTCTACAAAGCACATAGGAGTCTTCTCCAGCAATAACCACCTTTGCAAACAACGGGGGCAAAGCAAACGCCGGCTCAGCCCTGGACTGCAGCCCAGAGCCGGGAAACAAAAGCAGCAGCCTTCGGGGAGAAGCATTATCCACTGAAAAAAAGAGCAGGGGAGCGTCACTCCAGGGAGGGAAATGGATTGCTGAAGCACAGCTAAATATTTATCACGGCCAATGTGGTATCTTCCAGGCACCCACCGTTACGCTAGCAGAAAGCAGCACGAGGAGGAGGGCAGGAGCAAAGCGCTGCACTCTCTCTATGACTGTTATAGTTAATTGGATACAAGCTCCGTGATGCTTCAACTAGAATTGAAATAAAAACCTGGCTCTGTGGGTTCAGAGCTCCCAGCTCTGCCACCCCCCTGCCCATGCACAGCGGGCTGGTGGCTGCTCTGCCTGGAGGCGACGGGAGCCCGAAGCCAAAACCCTGCTTCTGCAGGTCACGGCCCCACGTATATTTTCAGCAGAACTGCCTTTTTTTGGGGTGGCGGCAGGAAAAGTGTGAATGGCACACGAGACAGTACAGGATTCAGAGCCGACCGAATAGCGTAACGGTGGCGTGCTCCTGCAGAGGGCACGGCAGGGGCCCGTCCCCACCGCTTATTTACCTACCCAGATTAGATGCACCACCAGAACAAGTACCAGTTCATCCCCGGCTTCTGGCATTTCTCACCGCTGATTTCTCCAAGCCTCGGTGTCAAAGGAGAGCTGCCTCCCCAGAAACACAGCCAGGCTTAGCCGGATCCTGCCCCCTCTCCCCAACAGCACCTATCTTCCCGCAGGAAGATCTCTCCCCTAAAGAGAAGGGCTTGCTTTTGAATTACTCAGGCATCGGCGCTGGGTGAGCCCAGGGGAGGCCAAGGGGGTCTCCTCCCTCCAGACCCCATGTGCATCCTCCCTCTCCGCAGCTGCAAACTCCCCATTTTCGGGAGTCACGCGCCTCCCCGCCAGCACGGCCCTGCCCGTCCCTCCAGGAGGGGCTTCCCGGGCATCAGAGGCCACCCGAGTCACAGCGACGGGCGCACAGGTCTTCACACGGGCTGCACGCGCAGGCAGAAAATACACCTGGAGCCCCAGAGGAAAGGCGGCAGCCCGGATTTGTACACAGAGTCTAACACAGACCCTGCACCCTCCGCCACGTTTCTGCACGCACCCAAAGGCTGCAAAACTCCCCGAGGCTTCCTCCCCTTCTGCTTTAACCTCTTGGATACAACACCCCTCCCTTCACAGCATCCATTTCACCGAAAAAGGTGCAGGCTTTGTTGGAAAATCATGCCCAGGACCAGCCACGCGTTGCAACCTGCGGCTAGAGGCTGCGTCCCTTGCAAAGCTCTGCAAGGAGGACACAGGGGCAGCTCCGGAGCTTTGCCCACAACTCCTTCCCTCAGTGCCACCCGTTCCATGAAACACAGCTCGAGGGAGCTCTGGTGACCTGAGACAACAGGGAGCTTTTGCATATTTTAGTAAACATCAGACTTGACAGCGCAAGATAACACGGAAGGAAACCAAGCGATGTTTTCCCACACGCTTGACCCTGCGAGATAATTTGGATCAAGCAGATACGAGCAATGGGAAGAGGAAGAAAGCCGAAATCCTTCCTAAGCTTCGTATAATCCCCAGAAGGTGTTTATCTCACAAGCTATGTTTAGTACAGAGTGAGGCACAGCTCTCGTCCAGCACCATTCCTATCACGCGTGTCACGGCCAGCCACGCGCATCCCCAAAAACTCCCGAGGCAGGAGACAACCCCGTGACTAAGCCAAAATGACGGCAGGTGAGTTTTGGTACGCATCTGTCATGGAAACAGCCAACCTGAGAGCTTCAACGCAGCACCCTCCATTTACCACCATGATCAACTCAAGCCCAAGAAGGGAAAGCAACCAGCAAAAGGAAACCTGAGGCCGCTCGCTGAATTTCCCTAAGGAAAATTACGGAAGTTTAGCTTAAATTCCGGCCACCCAAAAGGAGAGGCAGAAGGAGCTGCCGCGAGCGCTGCCAGCAGCGTCCACAGTCCCAGCAGCAGATGCAGGCACTCGGACCTACAAGCATCCCTACGCGGCAGCGCACAGCCGGCAAACCCGCTCGGAGGGCTGGCGCTTCCGAGGCAGACGCAAAACCCAGGGGAGGCCCGGTGAACGGCCAGCGGGACGAGAGGAGGGGGGTCTGAAGAGGCAGATGCGTTACACACGCTCAGGATCGATTCCCATGCTGAACGCTGCCCCGACGGAGGCAAAGGGGCTCGGGTCGGATGGGGACCCGGAGCTGCTGGTGCCAGCAGAGACCAGGGGCACTCGGCATACGCACGACACCTCCAGCAAAGGATCTCGGGAGTAATCGTATGAACGAACCGGTTCGTCACAACCAACAGCCCCGTGCGACCAGAAACCTGCAGGCACGGAAGGGTTCCAAACTTCCTCCGAGGAGGGCACCGCGCTCCCAGGCGCTCCCGCAGGCATCGCCTTTTGCTGTCAGCCAGACCCCTTCCCCCAAAATCCTCCCGGGGCCCGAGCTCGGGCCTCGTCTCCCGCGGGTCACGAGCGGTCCCCTCGGCCAGGCTCACCTCTCCCTTCCATCCGCACACCGCCCAGGGCGCCTGCGAGGCCGAGCGAGAGGTCTGGGCTCAGGCGCCCGGGCGAGAGCCTTTTTAAAGAAGCCGGGTCGATCCCTCTCAAGGCGGGACAGCGGCTGGAGGCATGTGCTCCCCGCCCGTGAGTCAGCAGCTCCGCTCAGCAGCCCTGCAAATCGCTGCTGATTCACACCCTGCTTACACAGCAAACAGGAAACTCAGGTCCACATTCCCCCCGGTTAAGACGCAGCTCATTTTGGG